TAAAAAAAAAACAACAGAAAATTGGTTTATGCTTCAATGTAAAATAAAGTATCCCTCGCTAATACTTCACCTGCGTTTAGGAAATACGGGCACTACTTCAACTACTACTATTGTTTTCAGGGTTTCCGGGAAATTCTTGAAGGCAAGTGGGATCACTTGCCCGAGGTCGCCTTCTACATGGTGGGGCCCATCGACGAAGTTGCGGCCAAGGCGGAGACTCTGGCGAAGGACCTCCCCTAGGACTTCCCCAGGACCTACTCCAGGGGAGTATCGAGGACTCTTCACGTTCTCAGAAAAGTAAGTTCTTGAATTGCATTGGGGCTCATGCAATTTGATTTGAACTTATGCTCTAAGATTACAGCAAACTTTACATTGGTTGAAAATCTGGCATGTCTGGATGTTCCAGAGCCTCGAGTCCTAGAAGACGACCCCCGCCGGCCCTAATTTCGACCAGGACCACGTCTTCAAGGGTCACCGAGGAAAATGTGCCGTTGATGAGCTGCAAGCAGGGTCTTCAAGGATCTCAAGCTTAGGTAATAGTTTCGCGTGTAATCGAGGACGGTTGAGGCACACGAGCCTGATCTGATTTGATCAGGAAAGGTGCGACGGACTCATCGAAAGTTGTTGCTGTGGCAATAATTAGTCGCTGTAGCTTTCCGCTTCACGACACGATCTGATCCTTCTAGTCTTGGTTCAGAACTAATGACAACTAAGATTTTTAAACTCGTATACTTCCGCAAACGTGGACATCGCTGGGTATGAGGTTGCATTGAACAAAGGGAAACACAAAGACTTGAATAAATACTCAAAAGTAGGAAGCGCATAAGTTTCCTTACGACCGTTCGCATTTGTGTGCATATCATTTCTAGTACAAGCTGTTTTGCGGCTGGCGTGGTGCCGTGGGGCATCGCGACGGCAGCGGGCAGGGCGGGGGCGGCTGGGCTCCCAGACCGCAGCCCATTCAAGTCTTGTTAGCGATTTTGTGCCGTACTATTACACGCTGCCATTTCCTGCCCGGTTCATTCACAACCCATGGAGGAGCGGGGCGGGGCGGTGTGGCGATTCATACCTCTGGCGCCGCGCTCCCGCGCCGCTCCCGCTGCCTCAAGTACATCGTGACCGCAGCTGGGATCGGCATAGCGTTGCCTCTTTCCCTTCTCCCCTCTCTCTCCCCCTTCTGTCCCGCCTCAAGTCACGGCCCAGCCCCGTTAAAGAAAATAAAATTTGATCCCTGAAACCCCGAAATACATTTTGTAAACTCGAGTAAAGAAATAAATGAATTTTTGAGTGTTTCAATACTTTCACTGGGCGCTCATACTTCCTGCTGCCTTCCCTCCTCGCTTCCCTCCGTACACCCAGGCTGACTGGCGCCTCTGCCCCGGTGCCCTCCTCCCTCTTCCCCGATGTTTGACCACCAGAGGTGATGCTACTGCCAGGTTTGTGGCCGTGCTGTAGGGCAAGGGGGGGGGGCAGAGAGAAGAGCGAGCGAGAGGCAAAGAGAGAGAGAGAGAGAGAGAGAGAGAGAGAGAGAGAGAGAGAGACGTGCTCCCTTACCCCTCATTAACTTCTGGACCTGAATCCGGGCATTTATCCAGAGTGTCGAGACATTGCCCGGGGGGAAGAGCAAATAACAAGCTTCTCATCACGAAGCCCTGGGCGCCAGGGCCCAGACCCCTGCCCTGTTGGCCTCTATGCTCGCTCAGACCTCTGCCCGTTGGTCACTGTGCCCCATAGGTCTCCATGCCCAGGCCTCTTCCCTTTCCCTCCATGCTCACCTAGAACTCTGCCCGTTGACAACTGTGCCCCATTGCCCATAGGTGTCCATGCGCAGGCCTCTGCCCTTCGCCTCTGTACTCACTCAGACGCCTGAGCAGGGACCGTCGCGTGGCAAGTGTATTTTTGTGAGTAAAAAAAATAATTGCTGCTAACATTTTTACAGTTTTTGTTTTTGGGTCGAAAGTGGAGGGACTCATAAATTGTAATATTGTGATGGGGTATATATTTTTCTCCTGCATTTTCATGAAAACAGAGGAGAAAAATTACCTTACACGTTCTTGTAAGATAAAAATTAAGATCCCGACCCGGGGTGGCTATGTGCTGTTATAGGATCACGCTGGCCATAAGGTGGCGTGACGTGGCTGTCCCCCTCAAATGAGACAGAATCAGCTCGTAGCTGCGCGAGGTGTTGATAGCGATAATGGTGGGGTCTGGGGCGTGTAATTATCATACGATTATCGGCCAGCGAGCACGATGGTGAGGCGGGGTATGAGGTGGGGCTGGGGCGGGGCGCGGGGCGTTCCCGAGACGTGTGGCCACCCGGGGGCCACCAGCCGAGCCCCGGGCCCGGGTCACCGCAGAGCAGAACCTCCAGCTCGGGTCCGGCGCCCCTCCTGCTTGGGACCAGATTGTTTGTTCATAATAACCACACGGGGAGACGTGCCCGCAGCTCTGGGGGGCGTCAACACTTGTGGTCAACGGCATCGTCACACGGTGGCGTATCCCTCGCCCTCCTCCGCCGATGTCCCCGTCAGCCAGCAGACACTGAAAACGGCGCTAAAATAACGCGCGGGCGCCAGGTTCTGTTTGCTCGTATAGAGAAGCAAGAAGAGAAGGCGGCGACTTCTCCAGAACTCCCGCGCCCTGCCCTCCTCACACCAGAAAGAGCTCATTGAATGGCGGCTGTAACCGTGTAGTATCGGCGGTGCGGAGGACCTGCCACCACACTATAACCGTGGGTGAATGGCTTCGAACAGAGAGAGAGAAGGGGGTGTTGTAAAGCCACCTGGCACGCACACGGCACGCTGGACCATTACTCATTACCTCTGCGGTAGAGGTAGAGTTAGGTGTTTTTACTGCGGCCTGCTGTCTTGTTAGGGGGCGTGAGGGGGGCGTGG